TTTGTGTTTTTAAATAGTGTCTCTTCCTTATTACCGCAATCGCTGGAAAAAAAAAAAAAAGGCACAAAAAAGTAATGGATGATGACTAAGGAGTAATCTAACAATAAATTGGGGAGATATAGTAAAGATTCATGTTTTTCTTCATGGAGGTATAATTTATTTTATTTGAAATCTGAAAGAGTGTGCATTCTACAGTACAAGGTTACAGGCAGAATGTTCATGATGGTTCCTACCCTGGCTTCTAGCCAAAATGTTCTAGCCAATATACGTAGCCAGGTGAGTATTAGCTCTGTCTGCTTATGTGTATTGTGTGCTGCTCAGGGCACTTTTAGGCCTCATATACACCAAGTTGGTCAGCGCTGTCCCAACGTATAGGCAAGGTTGAAAAAAATAGGATTTTATTTTTTCTTACTGTAAAATCCTTTTCTTGTGGCCCTTTAAACCTTTTGCTGTCACGTCTGTACGTCGTACTGACCTGACTATGGGGGTTTTACACACACTCCCAGAGGCTGCAGCCACTGGAAGTGTGTGTAAATATGACAAGCAGATTGCCACCTGTCAGATGAAAGGAGTCAAGCAGACCCCGCCGTTGTATCCTTGGCTCCACTTGCCCATCTGGTGGCCTGAGACAGGCATAGCGGGTGCTGCCGGGTAGAGGGGATGGAGAAGAGCGGACACACACCCGCTCTCCTTCTCTACTTGTTGCTGAGCCAGAAACGACATGTACAACGTCACTTCCAGGTCCCCCCGTCAGTTTCTATACTATGCTATACTGTTGCGTTAAGGAGGATTTTACACTGCAAACAAAAAACTGTAGGCCAGCCTGGAAAAGCACCCCAGCTACCAGCATGCCTGAATTTTATAGTAGAGCAGTACTGAGAGCATGATCATAAACTCATGCATGTGTCCCTCAATGGACTCCAAGAAAAGAGGTGTACAGTAGAGTACACAGGCAACATATTCATGCACCATGAGTTATTGGCTCATACCTTGAGGTAAATGGACACTGGCAAGCTTTAGAGGACAAGCCCCCCCACCCCAGGGCATCTCCTCTATAACCTTATCCCACTCTGTGAGTCCTCAGTTTTGTAGCAAGTAATGCAGAGTAACAAGGAAAGTATATGAAGACCATGTAGTTTTCTTACAAACTTGGGCGACAGAGGCTTGGCACCAAAAGGTCCAGGATGCTCCACAGCATCTACACAGAAAAGAAGAGTAGAGGAAAGCTGTTGTATACACTTTTCAACTGCCTGATCCTAAAAGACAGGGTCTTGTTGGTTGATCATTGTCCATGTCCAGTTAGCTGCAGTTTGTTACATGAAAAGCAGCAAGAGCTGGTTGCAGGGCTGGGCATTCCATATTAAAGTAGCTTTTAAAAGCATCTGAAATTTTTGTCAGCAGAATCCTTAAAGTATGAAACATCTTCAAAAGGTACAGTGAGATGTTTGTTTAGGATGGAGACAGCGAAATCAACTACAGGAATAGCCCACTTTTTTGTAAACTTTTTTCATTAGAGGTCAGCAAAGAATTTTGGAAGCATAAAAATCCTTTCAGGAGTGACCCAATTGTCATAGACTGCCTATTCTATCTATTCCCTTGGACTTAATGAAGCACAGTGGACCATCACCAGCAGATGACATGGCTCCCCAAATCAACACAGACTGTGGAAACTTCACACTGGACTTCAAGCATCTTGCAGTGTGTGCCTCTCCATTCTTCCTCCATACTCTGGGTCCTGAGCAACAGACCAGGTCTATTTTTCTTTAGCCCAGGTAAGACGTTTCTGACGTTGTTTGTTGTTCAGGAGCGGCTTGACAAGAGGAATACAACATTTGAAGCCCATGTCCAGAATCTGTCTGTGTGTGGTGGCTCTTGATGCACTGACTCCAGCCTCAGTCCACTCCTTGTGAAAGTCCCCAACACTTTTGAATGGCCTTTTCCTTACAATCCTCTCCATGCTACAGTCATCCCTGCTGCTTGTGCACCTTTTTCTTCCACACTTTTCCCTTCACATAACTTTCTATTAATGTGCTTTGATACAGCACTTTGGGAACATCCAACTTCTTTTGCAATTACTTTTTGAGGCTTTCCCTCCTTATGGAGGGTGTCAATGATGGTTTTCTGCAGAACTGTCAGGTCAGCAGTCTTTTCCCATGATTGTGATTCCTACTGAACCAGACTGAGAGACCATTTAAAGGCTCAGGAACCCTTTGCAGGTGTTATGGCTTAATTAGCTGATTAGAGTGGGACACTTTGAACCTAGAATATTGCACCTTTTCACAATATTCTAATTTTCTGAGATTGTGGATTTGGGGTCTTCATGAGCTGTAAGCCATAATCATCACAATTATGACAAATCACGGCTTGAACTATCTTGCTTTGCATGTAATAAGTCTATCTCATATATTAGTTTCACCTTTTAAGTTGCATTACTGAAATAAATGAACTTTTGCACGATATTCAAATTTTTTGAGTTTCACCTGTAGAGTCATTAGTATACTTCTATGGCAATGTGATGGATATTAATAGCAGTCCAAACAAAAGTGGTACATAGGGCTAAAACACGATCAAAACAAACAGGCTACAACAATCAAGACAAACCTAAAAAACTGTAATATATTTATCGATTATTGCAAGCATACACTATGCCAGTTACTCAGAAACAATGCATTATACTATCTCATTAAAGCCCGTGAAGCAGTATACTGTCACATGATGATAATTAAGGCAGAGTGTACAATGTATGCTCTACAGTATTTGTCATTGTGCAACAGGAAGTAATCATGCCTCTCTATGCCACCAGCCCTCTATTAAGGTACAGCTTGGCACGAAACTACAGAACAGACATTGTCAAAAAAATAATTTCAGCATGTTATGCATGCAATATAATCATATATATATATATATATATATATATATATATCATCCTCCTCCTTATATTTCAGGTGGCCTGCAATAACCAAAAGTAACCATAGAAAGACTGTTAACTGATGTGAATAGATGATATAACTTCTCTGAAAACCCACTGTCTAAAAAAAAAAAAGTTACAAAAGTCATATTAAAAAAAAAAATAAAGACAGAAGAAGGCACTAATTCACATTAAAAAAAGGAATGATGTGTGCATATGTCTTGTATTAGGATCATATTATTCCAATCTTTGTTTTATAACCTGCAAAATTGAGCTCTTACTAAAGGATACACAGATTCTTCCCTTCCAACCAGTTACAATATAAGAATAATCAAATGTTAAAATTGCATTTTAAAACCAATCTCTGGGGTGGAAGGAAAAAAAAAACTTGCAGTGCTCTCCCCCACTGCAAGGGTTAAATGTTTGTTACATCTAGGGGGAAATGAGAAGACTGCATTACTTACCTTGCCCTCACCTTGGCCACCTCTTGCCTTGTCCTGTTCTCAGGGCTGAGGGTGGTCCTTCAGTATTTTTCAGTGCTATTAACCCTTGCACTGTACGCAGAGGAGGCAGGAGTAAAAATGCAGCCAGAAGCAATTTTGAGGGAAAGCTCTGTGTCTGGTCGCATCACTGGAGAGACACTGCATGACTGAAGCATAAGGTTACGTACCTTATACTTCTACCGCTAAGCAAAAACTAGAATTTAACCTTTGCAGTTGTGGAGAAAAATGCATGTTTTAAAGTGTAACATATTTCAATTGGTGATCAGCAAATTCAAGTATTTCAGACAACATACTTTCTACCCATATATGTGCTTTCTAACTTACTTTTAAACCTGAATTCTAAAAATACTAATTAAAAAAAAAGGTCAGGACTGTAGAACTACTCTGCTTAAGACATTTCTTGGCTCATTCATCTGACCAGGTATCAATAGTGTGGAAGTGCAGGCACCACAAGTATTGGTGATCACATTTAATTCAGTTTTTGCAAGGGCATTGGGATCTGAAAACCAGGATGTACACAGGATGTCCACATCTGCCCATGTTGAGATTAATCCCCACTCTGCTGTGTAGTGTATGGCCCTGACAACGCTGTTCCATTTGACAAAAGTTAATTGTTAACTGTCAGAATGTAAAACTGTCGGCTGAACACAGCTGTAGCCAATGAGATGCAGGCAATGTATTGATATTCTGACAGCTGGTGTCGCCGGCTGTCTGAATACAATCGCTTGGCTGCGGGAATTCATCCATCTGCAGGTTAAATGAAAGAAATCTGTGCGTGTATGGCCAGCTTTAACTTTAAGCTTAGGATCCCCCCAAAGGCTCCACTGGAATTAATCTGAAGATTAACAAAGGTATTTGCAGACACCAGTATTGCTGATACCGCAGAAACATTTTAGGTCTGGTTAACTTCAGTTTATTCAGTAAGCGTTATTTTAGTATCAGGATGTCACCGCTATACTGCTAGAGAGGAAGTAAGACTTTATGCTATCTACATAAAAAAAATAAATGATTTAACTACCAATGACAATATTCTGTTCAACTTCCAACAAGAGTAAAGCCAGTCTACTTAGCATAGCAATTACCCTATCATGTGTTGGCAGAACCCCTGACAGTTTTAATGTCCAACACACATTTTGGGGTACAAAGTGAACACAGATTCACAATATTTGACAGCATTCACTCTGAAAAGTGAACATGTTGGTGGACAACTGTAACAAATGTCTACTGGCAGAGCAAGTATTAGGTGATAAAACACCTTCCAGGGAAGAAACAAATGTAATTTAACCACTCCCCTTAAATTATAATAGAGACAGATTAGGTTTATAATATTAGACTTTCACTATACCAAGTTCTCTTTCTTTCTGCAAATGCTCACTTAAGGCACCTCTCTCTAAATGTTCCTTTGCTCCACTTTTTATATCAAAATAATTGTGATCCTCTCAGTTGAAGATACTGAACCATTCAATTTTGCACAGCTCTACATGATAACTCAGAGCATAAAATTGCTGTTTTAACAATTTTAGGAGCTTTTTTCAACCTCTATTGCATTTGTATCCATGTAGCATTCACTTCTCAGAATAATTGGCTGTTTAATTGAAAGCATTAATCAAAAAACTATATTTTCCAAAGTCATTATCATCTGCACTAATGAGCTGATCTTTGCGTGCTTTCTCAAGTTTTTGACATAGAACTTTACTTCTTTCTTCCCACTCTTGCAGTTCAGCATTTCCATGGGCAAATCTGCATTTTTCTCCATCAGGGCAGGAGCCAGATAAGAACCTAATTAAGAGAAAGTAGAAAATATTTTGAAGAGACTGCTTCTTTAAAGAATACACACAAAGCATGACATTGTTTAAATCAACAAATACACATGCTGAGGAATATACTGCAGTATTTAAATCGTATCTATCACAAAAGTATACAATCAAATATTCATTTCCACATTGTATTTCACTTATTGCTAGCCTACTCTTATTAATCTAAATAATTTTGAAGTTTGTAAACGTACTTTGTGAAGAATCCCACACAATTACTTCCTTGAATTCTGTGACAAATGTTCCCTTTGTGTGAGTCATGTGAGTAGGCACTTCTGTGTCACACATTTCACAGAGTCTGCCTTCTGAGCTACAGAGGTGCCGAGAGGAGGAGTTTCAGGAGGTGGAGTCAGTACAGGAATCACTGCTCAAAGGCAGCAAGGTACCATGGGATATGTAGGCCTTAGAAATAAAAAGTAAACAGCAGCAGAGAAGCTGCAAAGCCTGTAGGGAATTCAGGAAGTTAAAGAAAGAGGTGGCCAGCAGACAGGCTGCATTCACAACATAAATGTAGATTTTTCATGTAAGCCTATACTGAGTTGTCAAAAATAATGAAAACTGAAAAGTGCAAAATCCGTTGCAGCTGTGCATAGAAACCAATCAGCTTCCAGGTTTTTGTTTTGTCAAAGCTAATTGAACAAGCTGAAGTTAAAAGCTGATTGGCTATCATGAAGAGCTGCACTTTGCAGTTTTAGTAAATCAACCCCATTGCTTGTATTGTTAATACGATGCTGATGTTATAAAATGAAGTGTATGCTGTGACCATAGAACTCCTTTATTATTAATGGAATGTTAAAAACTGTAAGAACATATCAAGAACTGATATCAACATGCTATCCAATACCCATTGTAAAAGAAGAATACTGGATGTAAAATAGAGTTTCTAGGCTCAGTCTCTCCTCTTTGCATGCCCCTGCAAAAGTGACAAGAAGGAGCACTGACAGGGGAAGCAGTGGTGGAGTATGCAGTGTTGCAAACTTGCAGAAGGATGCAATGTCTGGAGTGTTGGGAAGAAGAAAGGTTCAGAGTCAGGAGTGCAGTGATAGGGTAGCAAAGAGATACAATGTCAGGGTGCAGATGGCCAGTGGTGTTGTTTTTTTTTTAGGCCTGAATGCAAAAGCTGTGTATTTTTAAGCCTGCAGGAAAGCTTTTTGGAATGCAACCCAATAGGGTGTAGGTGTGTGGATTGCATCGCCCGCTGATCTAAGCTAGAAGTGAAAGGGGGTTTAGTTAGCATGGGGAGGCATTAGAAATAAATTAATTGATATTAGAGTTAGCCTTTAGTCCTTCTTCAGACCTATGCATTGCAGTAATGTGTGTTTTAACCCAATGGGAACTCATAATACTCTGTGCGGTGCCATTCATTTAGAATGGCACTCAATACAAAACTACAGTAGGTGCCAACAGACCCACTCTGCAGCACACCACAACGTATGTGCCTTGTGTACATTTTTTTACTTGTAGCCTGCACTTCTACTTCCAACTGTCTATGCATGCACAGTAAAACCTTATGGACATCTATGGGGCAATGAGACTGATGTGCATGCGCAAAAAGCAGGACCTGGACCTAGAATTTAGTAAAACCACTTCTGATCTTCTTTAAACTGGTTCTAAAGGCTCTGCATTAAGGTAAAAAAAAAAAACCTTTACATCTCCCATGGCCAGCTGGAAGCACTTCCAAAGCGATCCTTGCAGCAGGTTATTCTATGTTTCAATAGAATGTGTCCTTCTAATTTATTGCCCAGTCAACTCACGCCACCTCCCTTATCACCTGACTTCTGCTGCGTTTCACAAAAGGCACTGTAATCTCCAGCCTGGCAGCAAACACCACCACCTCCACCCTGACCTCTGCTGTGGGCCTGGATCTGGAGTTACAGCTTGCAGCAACTTACGGAGGCACTTGCCACCAAAAAGCCAGTTGCACCCCCTAATACTCTACATACCTGAACACCCCAATCCCCAATTGTTGTGACCACAGCTGACTATTATTTCAGCAACCCCAACTGTCTTCAATGCATCTAACCCCCATCCTCCATCCCTTCTCTCACCACCTCTCCCACATGACCCCACTTAAGTTGTCACTGCACCAATGCCTGCTTCTGTGTTTGCTGCCAATACACTACTGCTTGCCTCTGCGCTTTCCATTCTTGTACCTCTGTTCATTGTTCTCTGCCACTGCAGTGTCGTGCCCTTTCCAAGCAGACCATTTATTGAACGGACACACTTCTGCTAGTCAGTATGCAAATATCACCAATAGTAAACGGTATAATCAGGCCTCCAGTAGCATCTTCCGCAAATATCACCCCCGCCATCACATTTCAAATTTATTTTTTTGTGCAATAAGGAGTGAAAAAGGTCGATAAATGTACAATTCCCAAATTAAAGAGAGTTAACTGAATTCCACAAAGAGGCTATTAAAACACTGAGCAAACATAAACAATTAATTATTAAACCCTCAGATCAAGAAAGAGATGTAGTAATGTATCACTATCAGTATGAAAAAATGGGCACAAGACTTCTTTCCAATAATAGCTGATGTAAGAAAATCCAGAGTGGGGGCTGGAGGGGATCCTACAGCACAGAAGGTTTTTTTACCAGAGAATTCATTAAGGTAAAAGATCCTTAAACCTTTAGAACCACTTAAAGAGATCCCTGTTGTAGAATACCTGCGTATCCACAGGAACTGTACCTGGGGCAAGGATTTTCAGAAAGATGCCAGAGAATTTAGAAAGACTGTAGCTGAGAGTATAAAGACAAACATCTTAGGAAGGCATATCAGAAAGCCAAAAGTTAAAATAAACATATGACTACTATTATTAGGGTAAAAAAAATACAAACCTTTGTGAGGGTCATTTTCCAATATTCCCAACAACATTCTGATATTTACAATTTTTTTGTAAAATAGTGGTATTTGCTTAGCAATAACCTGAAGCTTTTTCCATTTGTTTCTAAAAGACCTTTTGCCGCCTTTACAAAGGAACACTCATTAAGGGCTCACTCACACCACAATGCATGCGTTATTGATTACATGTTGAGTCTTTTGTAACATTTTGTAATGCGTTGGCATGCTTTGATTTTTTTTGCCTTGCAGTGCACTGCGTTTATGAGCGCATTTGCATGTGCTGTGAAAAAAAGTAGTGCATGCCAGGCTTTATTTCAGCGCTGGGCAAACCCAATGCAATGCACAGGTGTGAACTGCATTCCTAGGGAACCATTATTTTTTGGTTACCATGCATTGAGAATGTGTTTGCACCCCAGCACATCTGGTGTGAATGAATCCTTAGGGATAAACTGGTACACAGTTCTTTTTGGAATAAAATAGGAAAATTCTGTAGAGACCTGGAAATGTATATCTGTAAGAGTTGCCAACCTTTTGTATCTACACTAAACAGCCAGAAAGGTGACCCGTATTTCCTAATCAGACAATTAATTTCCTGGTTCAGTAATGCTGCTTTCTATGTCACTTCTCTGCTAGCAGCCTTCTCATTGGATGGTGAAACAGCATCATCACCTTTATACAGTGCAAACGGAGGAAACAGCAGTATCATCTTACTGACTATCAGAGATGAGCGTTTCACAAGAATTCTGGCCAACAAGACAAATCCACTGGTAAGGAAAACAGTAAACATAACAGATATATGTATTTCAACAAAGTATTCAGCGGTTTACCTGACGTCCCACTTTAGGGTTGCAGTTATTCAGACGGTTGTATACAAAGCTAGGCATTGTGTGTGTGTGCACACCGCACTCTCTGCATGTATTTAAATGTCATTTTTTTGTCACCCAGACAATGTCTTGTATTCATAAGATATGAGGCGTCCAAGGAATGTCAGTGGTGTCGAGCGAGTAACTCCCTGTTGGCACAGGACCACGAAAATTGCGACAATCACTGTAGTAGTGGTACTACTACAGTGACTGGCACCTTTCCCAGCAGTCCCCTCAGGTATGGGATATGCATACTTACATGGGTCCAAGCTGGATCAATTTATTTATGCAATAAAGAGCATACCTAGACTTCACCTTTACATTTGGCTTACATGTACCTTTACAGCTGAACTAAAGTCATACTTACCTCCTTGCTAATGGTCCGAAGTCTGCAAAGAGTTTCACGCTAGCACCAGCATCTTCCTCCCGGCTCCCTCTGGGTGTCCCTTTTCAACAGTTTTCATTGGATCGCTCAAGATGATGTAACTCCTGCACAGGAGTCAGTCATCCCAGCACACAAGGATCGTGCCACTGCTGTAAACCAAGCTATGCATGAGCAGCTCAATTTACATGCCACAGAAGACTGACAGCAGGCAGATGTATTTTATTGCAGAAGGGACACTGCATGCCTCTTCTGCAATAAATCGCCTGCCTGCTTGTAAGTTGTTTTTTTTTTGTTACCTTCAGTTCTGCTTTAAATACAGATAACAAAAGCTGTATCTTTTCTGGACGTATTAGGACAGACAATGTTCTAGTGTTTTCCACAAGCATGAGGTCCTTTGGTTTCAGCTTTTTTTTTTCTACTGTGAAGAGTTCTACTAGCAGTTATTTGGTTGCAAATTAAGGATCCAAGAACAACTGTGAAGACCTGACAAAACAGGTACAATAGAGTTAATTCTCCAGTTACTTACAACTCAGAGGGGCAAATGGGAAACTAGTTCTTATGGTTGCCACGCTTGTTTGGTGGGAGAAGCCTGATGGGGAACAGAGAAACTAGTTCTCCATCAGATTGCCTTGCTTTTGATCAACAGTGGACAGCAGTCAGCAGAATCAGAAGCTGCTCCAGTTACTTTTTCTTCCAGAGACACAATGTTATGAGTCAATAGTTTCCTCTAAAAAAGGGACTTACACATAAAGGTCCTCACATAACAATGGACAGTGGAAGGTACAAATAACAGAATACTTTTTCTGTGGGGTATGTCTGTTGTGGGAGGCTGTCAAGAATGTCCACAGGGCTCTATCCCTGACCCCATTTAGCTGCTGGTCGGGGACATTCTCCAGCCAAAAATTAACAGAGCCCCATGCAGCAAGCGGTCACATTCATGACAGGCTCCTAGTACAGATAACCCCCACCTAGAAAGTGTTCTGTTATCTGCACCTTCTAATGTTCAATGTTATGTGAAGACTTGTATATGCAAGTCCCTTTTTAAGGAGGAATTATTGAGTCATATTATCTTGTGTCTCTTGGTACGTGCTGGAAGTGAAAGAAACTGGAGCAGCTTTCAAATTCACCTACACCTACCCCTAAACCATGTGCCTGTCTGTTTGACAGGCACAATGGCCAGAAGAGAGGGAGCTCACTTGGGAAGGAGTGTCCAGTATGGAGTGAGGCCCCCCCAACAGATTCATGTACCGGTTTCTGACAGGTATATGAACTGGGTGCAAGCACCAACAACTTTGGTGCAGAGGCCTAAAAGAATTATAAAGAGTGTCTATGACAGAGTGTCTATGAATTCTTCACTTTCTGTTTTAATATTCTTGTCTGTTTTGCATTATGCAGCAATACCTGTTTGCATGCTGTTATCTTTTAGGAATCATTTATATAAGGTATGCTAAAGTACAGATACAGAAATTAGGGTAACTGCAACGTACTTGAACAAATGGGTAGTCAAGAGCAAAAACAGGATACCTACTATTTAGTAAAAAGGCGAACGTCTCTAAATATGTCCAGCTTAACCTCCACCCTCTCCTCCTTAGGTTTAGGCAGAAAACAGTTAGTTGGAACAAACTACCGCTTTCGGTGGTTGGCAGGTGTAACCTAATAAAAATGATTTGGATCCCTCAGTTGTTATATGTCTTGTACAATGCACCAAATTGGATTCCTATGTATGTTTTTAAGCAGTTTGATACAGTGTTTCGTGCTTTGATTTGGAAAAAGCGCTCTCCTCGTATAAAATTGGAAACTTTACAGGAATCTAGTGAGGCTGGGGGGTTGGCAGTGCCTAATCCATTTTATTATTATATGGCTGTGCAACTTCAGTATCTTACTGCCTGACAGGATGGTGATCATGTTGACACCATTAAGCCGCTCCTAATGGGTGTTTTATCTAATGATAATTTGATAGAATGTCTGGAGGCGGCCGAGTTTGGAAATATGTCCCAATACCCTACCTTAGCATTGATTGATAGAATTTGGTCTAAAGCTAAACGTCTTTTCCATTATTCGGGTTATACTTCATTCACTCATATCTTCCATAATATGAACTACTCTGAGTTTCAGAAGTTGCAGGGTTTTGCTGGAGATGGATGATGTTGGAAATTAGATATATACCACAACTGTATCATGGTCAGTTGTTGAAAGATTTTCGTACCTTGCAGCTTGAATATGACTTGCCTAAACAGTTTTTTTTTTCAGTACCTGCAGCTTAGACATGCTATTTCTGCAAAATCTAAAACCACTTCATGGTCATTTACTGAACCGGTAGTACTTAAACTATATCATGGACCACAAGAAAGGGTCAAATATCTGCCATGTACCAATCCCTTATGCACAGGGTTTCTAAGGCGATGTCCCTCAATTGTAGGGCACAGTGGTCGCTTGATTTAGATATTATCTCAGACGAGGAATGGTCCACCATATTAGAAAATGTAACTAAAGTCTCATTGTCTTCAGCCCAGAAGCTTGCCCAACTTTTTATCATCCACCGTACCTACGGCACTCCTCAGCGGTTGTATGATTGGAGTAGGAGAGACTCTCCTCTCTGTCCTAGATGTGAAATTAATAATGGCATGCTTATTCATATGTTATGGAAATGCCCAAATTGGTAAAATATTAATCTCATATTATAACAATGATCAACAGGATCTGGTACACCGGGATTAGCACCAACCCAATTAGTTAAGGCTAGGCTGTTAAGTGGAGGAGTCTCTTCAGGTCTGATTTGATATAACTAGTGTCCCATCAGCTCCTGTATAGGTATTAGGGACATATATATATATGTGTGTGTGTGCTAAAAATTTGCTTCTGGCAGGCATTGAACTTCTATCTACTGCATTACACATGGATAGGCTGAAGCAGCTTGATTTTCTGAGTTTATTTCGGTGGAAGAATGGTTTGTTTAGATTATTTTGGTTTTGTATTTTGTGCTTATTCTTTTTGCTTTCTTTTTGTTTGTTTTGAAGTTTTATAAAAATAAAAAGGGAAGAAGCATTGTACGGAAAGTCAGGGAGGGGTGGTTAGAGATACAAATGAAGACAAAGAAAAATGAATCCTCAGAAATTTACCAGCACCAAAAACCTCCTGGCCTGGACACAGAAAACAACAGGGAACAGACATACAAGCTGCCAGCACTCACGATCCTGTTGCTTCTTCTCAATAAACTCTGTTCTCCAGAGTATTACACAGGTTTTCTAAAAACATACACACTGCTTCTGTAATTAAAAAGCTTATCTAAACAAGAAATGTCCATCTTACACTTAGTGCAAAAATTGACAGGCTCACCATCTTTGTTCGTCTATTATGACAATCAAAAACCAGCTTATTCATTTTATGTTTAATATCCCAAAAGATTTACTAGAGTATTTCTTCTTAATCAGGGGTTGGAAGACACAGTAGGTGTGAATCATAGGTGAATCAAACATCAAACCCCAAAATATTAACAGCGGTTGTATCTAAGACCTCAACTTTATACTGTAAGAGGTCAAAGTGATTACCAAACCAATTGCACCCTGTGCAGTAACAAATCCGTAATTATGATTAGTGGTTTTGGCACTCCATTCTTTACACTTAGAGGCCAAACATGCTTATCAAAATATGTGCAAATAATTTTTATTACATTTTCTAGAGCCTGAATTTTCACACCTCTGTAGAGAATTTGCTAGCCAGTTTAAAGCAAGCTTTGGTCAATCAAGGATATCCCAACTGGGTACTATATAGTGCATTCAGAAGTATTCAGACCCTACAAGAAAGCTTTTGCAAACTCCAAGCAGGCTTTCATGTGTCTTGCACTGTGGAGAGGTTTCCATCTAGCCACTCTGGCATAAAGCCCAGATTGAAGGAGCTCTGCAGAGATGGTTGTCCTGCTGGAACTTTGTCCCATCTCCACAAAGGATCTCTGGAGCTCAGTCAGAGTGACCATCAGGTTCTTAGTTACCTCTCTTACTAAGGCCCTTCTCCCCCGATTGCTCAGTTTGGCCAGGCAACCAGCTCTTAAAAGAGTCCTGGTTGTGCCAAGCTTATTCCATTTGAGATTTACAGAGGGCCAGTGTGCTCCCCTTGGAACCTTCAGCACAGCAGGAATTTGTTTGTAGCCTTCCCCAGATCTGTGACTTGCAATATTCCTGTCTCTGAGTTCTGCATGCATTTCCTTTTGACCTCATGGCTTTTATTCTGTTACAGTATGTATTGTCAGCTGTGAGGCCTTTGATAGAGAGATGTGTGCCTTTCCAAATCATGTCCAATCAATTGAATTTACTAAAACCGGACTCCAATCAAGGTGTAGAAACATCTCAGCAATGTTGAAAAGAAATGCGAGGCATCTGAGCTAAAATTTCAATTGTTGTTGCAAATGGTCTGAATAATTTTGCAATGTGATATTTCAGTTTTTTATTTTTATAAATTTGCAAACATTTCTAAAATTCTGTTTCCACTTTGTCATTATGGGATACTGAGTGTAGACAATGAGACAAAGTGAATTTAAACTGTAGTATCAGGCTGCAACATAACAAAATTTAAAAAAGTGAAGGGGGTCTGAATACTTTCTGAATGCACTGTATATGCTTTTTTTTTAGTATGGCGGTGTTAAAATCCAACATGGGCACCGGTAATGTGCAATCACCATTTTAACTCAATCATGGCTGTAGACCAAAGCACGTACCTTTTACAAACACTGAGAGATCCAGTAGGAAAGCGGTGTTGCCAGATATTCTGGTCATCCTCAGAATGGAATACCCTCTCTTTATGTTTTTCTGACGAGATGTGCATTTTCCACTGACGTTCACTATTGCAGTTCTTCCCACAAAGCCAGCAATGGAAATTAACCTGCTCGTAACAAAAATAGTGAAATCATATTCTAGCAATACCCACATTTTCTGACTCAATTTTCTTTCAAGGCCTAATCTTAGCTTGGCCGATTAAAAGTGTAAAATACTTGATATTTTTGTTAAATAAATATGCTCACATGTGTGATCTATACTCCTCAAATAACTGATTGTTAACCATTATTTTTTTTTTAGTTTCTTGCTAACCCCACCCTGTATTAAAAAAGGTCAAAAGGACAAAACACCCTCTCTATGCTGCAACCATGCCCCCCACATCCACTTCCACAGTTGACCACCCATCCTCTTCTGAATTGAATGACAGCCAGCATCCCTCAACCCACTTCCTGTGAGCGCCCCCCCCCCCAAAAGTATTTTATTTTATTCTAACTGTAAGTCTCCAGAATATAATTTCAAGTATTGAAATGCTTCTAACAATACCTACCGTGGTTTCTGCATAGTCAGTGGGTAAGTGAATTTGTTTATAGGCTTGACTGGACATTTCTTTTCCTCCCTCAGTCTTTTTACTCTTCAATGTCTCATACAGTTTATCCATATCTTGAACTAAAAATAAATAAATAAAGAAAATATCATAATTTTGTTAATAACAGCCTGTGGCTGTTCTTTAACATTATAAATACATTTCAACAATAAAGATAATACTGATTTGACAATTGTGCATGCACAGAAATCCTAAAACATACTACACGGTCACATTTCAAAGGTGTATAAGGGAAAATTATCTCACTCTCTGTTGCCATATAAAAAAGATAAAAAAGAAAAAGGAAACAAAAAATCTGAATGCTGTTAGGAAACAGCATGTTCTTTAGGAGCTAATCTTAAGGCGCATTCATACACTGCCTCTACATTAAAAAAAAAAAAAAAATTTGTTTAAATGCACATTTTTCATATGTGTGTTTTATTAACCCATGGTGTTTTTTTGGTACGTTTTACATGTCTTGTTTTTTTTATATTACACTGTTTATTAGTGGTGCACCAAAATGAAATTTCTGGTGCTGAAACCGATACCAAAAATTCAGAATGTGTCCAAAAACCGAACCGGAACCAAAATGTCTGCATATGTGGAGGTGGGGACGCTCCAAATGTTTTTTGTCTTTTTTTCCTACTTTCATGTATATTTTTATTTATTTTTTTTAACTTATGATTTTATTGCTATCACATAGGGGACCAATAGTCCCCTATGTGATAGCATATGAGTGACAGGTCCTCTTTGTAGGGGGGGAGGGGGTGGGGAGAGGAGCAGTATATACAGAGAGGCCCCCTCACTGGCTGTCACTATGGGGTTTATTTACTAAAACTGGAGAGTCCAAAATCAGACTCCCTTCTGCATAGAAACCAATCAGCTTCTAACCTCAGCTTGTTCAATGAAGCTTTGGCAATGAAACCTGGAAGCTGATTGGTTTCTATGCAGAAGGGAGTCTGATTTTGGACTCTCCAGCTTTAGTAAATAAACCCCTATATGTCGGAGCCGATTTTTAAATGCAGTTGCCGGCTTTTTTTTTCTTTTTCACTATAGCTCACAGAATTCGCTGTCACTTTCCCCGGAGCTAAACTATTGTTTCTTTTATCTCGGAAAAGAACTAAAAGGAAACATTGTTTTTTTTAACTGAGGGAAATAAACTAAAAGCAAACTTTGTTTCTTTTAGCTGGGGGGAAAGTGACTGCTGATTCTGTGAGCAATAGTGAAGAAAAAAAAAAGCCACTAATTACATTTAAAAACCGGCACTGGCATATAGTGACAGCTAGTCACTGTATACACTGCTCCTCTCCTGCCTTTCTCCGCCGTTCCCTCACATCTGCAGTACATACAGTCCCCTGTATCGGTTACATTTTTCCTATTGGCTATTTTCGGCCGATATCTTTCAGTGGCCGAAATTTCGCTACTGTTTATTGTGAAAGTGAGCAATGTACAGAAGAGTACATCCCAAAACAAGGACTTACAGGCCAGAATGTACAGCGAGTAAAATAAGTATTGAACATGTCACCATTTTGCTAGGTAATTATATTTCTAAAGGTGCTATTAACATGACATTTTCACCACGTCAGTAACAACCCATGCAATCCATACAAAACAAGTAAGTTCAGAAATTAAGTTATGTGTAATAAAATGGAATGACACAGGGAAAAAGTATTGAACACATGAAGAAAAGGAGGCGCAAAAAGGCATTGAAAGCCAAGACACCAGCTGAAATCTATCAGTAACTAGAAAGCAATCCTGCCCTGTGCAAACAATATCAGCTGGTTCAGATGAGACCAAAATTGAACTCTTTGGATGCTATAATACACACCATGTTTGGATGTCAAATGGCACTGCACATCACCTTAAAAACACTGTACCAACAGTGAAGTTTGGAGGTGGGAACATCATGGTGTGGGGCTGTTTTTCAGCATACGGTACTGGAACACTTCATATCATTGTAAAAAGGATGAATGGAAAAGTGTACCAAGACATTCTTGATAAAAATCTGCTCCCATATACCAGGATGATGAAGATGAAACGAGGGTGGACATTTTAGCAAGACAGTGATCCCAAACACAAAGCCAAGGAAACTCAATTGTTTTCAAAGAAAGGAAATAAAGCTGCTAGAATGGCCCAGCCAATCATCTGACTTGAATCCAAAAGAAAATCTATGGAAAGAGCTATAGATCAGAGTTCATAGAAGAGGCCCATGGAACTTTCAAGATTTGAAGACTGTGTGGAAGTGTGGGCCAAAATCACACCTGAGCAATGCAACGACTGTTTTCTTCCATACAGGAGGCATCTTGAAGATGTCATTACCAACAAAGGATTTAGTATAAAGTATTAAATACATTTCAGTCAGAGTTTTCATTACTTTTTTCCCTTTGTCATTCAGTTTGTTTTGGTTTATTTGTATGTATGGGTTGTTAACGACATGTGGTGAAAATTTCATGTCAATAGCACCTTTAGAAATATATTTACCTAGAAAAATGGTTTTCAATACTTATTTTACCCGCTGTATAACATGCCATAAAGGAAGAAAAACAATAAACCAAAAATAAAAAACATGGCTTGTTTCAATCTGTGCAAATAGAAAATGTACATATGGCTCAGCATAAACATATACCAAAATATGGAATGTAGCTATCCTTCCATTCCCAAAGTTTCACAACCCAAGATATTTACTGGTCAGTGGTAATGAGAAGGTTAGAGGAGCACCAAATATCCCACACTTTGTTGTATTTACTTGGGCACCCCTGGTGTTTATACAAAACCTTCACAAGCAGTATTTGGTTGATGGCATGGAGCCACTGTGAAACAGAAGGGGATGCATCCATCTAATGGCAATTTGTTTGCGAGCTAGAAACAAGGTCTCTCACAGGAATGTTCTGGTATATCTAGGCCAATGTTCTTAAATCTAACAATCCCAGAAAACACACTTCTGGCGTAAGCATCACTGACATAGAGAGAAGTTGAGAAAGTAAATCTGTAACTTGACACCAATAAGGTAAAATCGATGGGCATGACCAAATCAAATGGTTAAATTTGGCTCCCACTCGGTTGTCTACAGGTGGGGATCAAATGTAAACGTACCGGTGTAAGGTAGGTTTGATGGATAATATACAATTGTATACTTTTGTTGTTAACTGCCAGAGAGGCCATTAAATGGGATGCACAGGCCTCTTCCGAATCATTTATCTGTCAAATATGGACAGATCTCTTGTCAAAATGTCCTAGCCAGGAGTGGTATTATGCATACATTGCCTTGGAAAAGTATTCATATTTCATACCTGATTAGAAGTTATGGTTTATGAAGCGTGAGGAAGTTTGAGAATTTTCCTCCCTTTGTACTTGAGGCCGCTTATGTAGGTATCCACAGTATAAATACCAATCTCTTTGAAACAACTTATGTAGAGAAAAATTATCTAATTATCTTTGTAGAGCCTATTGGTGATCGTTATAGCATTGCAAATGTGCTCCTCAAACAAGGGTCCTTTTTTGGATCCCTTATGTTCGCTTGTTAGACCTTGTATTTGGGTCCTTCTGCAGTACGCCCTATTAATGTGAGCCTATGCATACAGTACATGCTATTTTTGCTTATTTAGGGTTTAATTGTATGTTTCCTTATCTTCTAGTGATATATGCACTAACGTATGTAATTTTTCTATAATGTAGTGTTCTACCTCCTCTAATATACAGTCCTGAGGAAGCTACATACGAAACACGTTGACCGCTGAAGCTTGGCAAGCTATACAGTCTAACACAGCCTATGTGGCTACACAATTGAAAAGAGGAGGTTGTGTATATTCGGGGACTCTTCTCAGTCTCCCTTGCTTTTAAATGTATGAATTGTTTCAATGTATTCTAAACTGTTTTACATCTAGAACATACATATTTATATACATATATGTAAAATATATATTTTTTTTAATGAAATTAAGTGTGTTCTCATATAGTGCCTATAAGGTTTGCCATTATATGGTCTAGGTGTCTAGCAGTTGTCTTAATAAATTCATACCTCTTGAAATTTGCCACATTTTGTCATGTTACAACTAAAAACGTAAATGTATTTTATTTGGATTTTATGTGATAGACCAACACAACGTGGCACATAATTGTGAACTGGAAGGAAAATGATAAATGGTTTAAAATTGTTTACAAATAAATATCTGAAAAGTGTGGCGTGCATTTGTATTCAGCCCCGAGTCAATACTTTGTAGAACTACCTGTTGCTGCAATTACAGCTGCAAGTATTTTTTGGTATGTGGGGAATGTATGTGAACAGCAATTTACAAGTCTTGCCACAGATTCTCAATTGGATTTAGGTCTGGACTTTGATTGGGCCATTCTAACACATGAATATGCTTTGATCCAAACCATTCCATTGTAGCTCTGGCTGTATGTTTAGGGTCGTTGTCCTACTGGAAGGTGGACTTCCACCCCAGGTTTTCTTCTAAGATTGCCCTGTATTTGGCTCCATCCATATTCCCATCAACTCTGACCAGCTTCCCTGTCTCTGCTGAAGAAAAACATCCCCACAACATGATGCTGTCACCACCACGTTTCCTGGTGGGGATGGTGTGTTCAGGGTGATGTGCAGTGTTAGTTTTCTGTCACACATAGTGTTTTGCTTTTAGGCCAAAAAGTTAAATTTTAGTCTTATCTGACCAGAGAACCTTCTTCCACGTTTGTTGTTTCCCCCACATGGCTTCTCGCAAACTGTAAACATGACTTCTTATGGTTTTCTTTCATTAATGGCTTTCTTCTTGCCACTCTGACATAAAGGCCAGATTTGTGGAGTGCACGACTAATAGTTGCCCTGTGGACAGATTCTCCCACCGCAGCTGTGGATTTCTGCAGCTCTTCCAGAGTTACTATGGGCCTCTTGGCTCCTTGTCTGATTAATGCTCTGCTTGCTTGGCCTGTCAGTTTAGGTGGATGACCATGTCTTGGTAGGTTTGCAGTTATGCCATGCTATTTCCATTTTCGTATGATAGATTGAACAGTGCTCCATGAGATGTTCAAAGCTTGGGATATATTTTATAACCTAACCCTGCTTTAAACTTCTCCACAACTGTATCCC